TTGAGCTCTAAGTCATTCTCCCTATTTACTCTTAGTCATTGGCTGTGGTCACTAGCAGTTACAGGTTTCCTCTGCTTTTTGCTTTACACTACTTCACTTTTACAAAAGACCTATATTAGTAGTTGTTTTCACTACCCAAAATAATTCAGAAGGGAACTTGCCCTTATCCAAAAAGGAAAAGTGAAAAGAGCGTTCAGCATTCATTTTGCAGGGAGCCATTACAGAGACAGTGTGCACCCCAAGCAGCAAGAGTGGCCCCACCAACCTCCTTCCTTGCATCTCAGCATCTCAGCGTCCAGCACCACAGCTTTGAACTGTATCTGTGAGCATCTGTGCTTTATCTCCACTGGTTTTGTGCAGCCATTGGCAAGATGTGGCCTAAGGTAATTGCTTCTTTGTTTTTTTATGCCATTTTGGCTTATGCAAGATTTCACGGGAACTCTCTACTTTGCATAGTGTTTGTGGGGAGGATGTGTTGTGGGGACAGTTTTTTGAAAGACTGCCTAGACCACTACACTGATTAGGTTGTTTAATTTCCATTAGACCTATTGAAGCCCAAAAGTCTTGCTCCTTGACTGGGGTTTTCATTGTGTATAACAACTGGGTCCTTTAAACAACTTGGACACTTTGTATTGTCCCCCCCCCCTCCCTTTTTTTTTTCCAGTTATTGACTCTGAGAAAGATGGGCCTGATAATTTTCTACCTTTCCTACTTAGGAGCTTTGATTTCGGTAACTACATGGGATATTCAGGGAACAATGTCAGATTCTCTGTGGACTCTCAGCATGAAAACATCAACTTTCTGTCTTTAAACATTCATCAAAGTCTTTGGCCAACTGATTACAACCTTTGTGTTCAGGGCTTTTATGTACTTGTTCATTTTTCTATGTGCTTACTAGCTTGCAATTTACTTTGAGTGGGAGAGTAGTCAATAGATTTAATTTGTAAATGAAAAGACCTCAGTAAACTCACTTTGGAAGATTTCCCTGAATTTCTTAATTTTCCCAAGTTTTGTTTTTTGAATAGAGAAAGCAAACACTTGTCTCAATAAATTTTCACTTACTATCCTGTATAACTACTATGATTTTTTCTATTATTTCCATTTGAATGGCTCCTTCTCATCATGCAGGCTTTTCTTTAAATAGCACTTCTTCTGTCTACCTTTCCATGTTAATTCTCTCCATAAATATAAACCTGTATTACTCTGTTGGTGACCTAACCATTACCTAAAATTATTTTTTACTGTTGCAAATAATTTCTTTTCTCCATTCACCACTATAAAAATAAAACAAAACATGAGCATACTTACCTTGTCTGGCTTGTTCATCATTTCATCCTTAGAAGAGCTATTTAAAGTCAGCATTGAAATCATTATTGAGTGAATAAGTGAGTGACTGAGTTTAAATTCACAGATTTGTTTCAGAAAGAGGTACAAACTTAGGGTGACTATAAGTCTCTGTTTATCTAGGACAGACTTAGTTTACACTGCTGTCCAAGGTTGAGTTATTTCATTATTATGAATTGCATCTCTTTTTATTTTCTGATTATCTGCATTAGACTAACTTGTATACTGGCAGGGTTGAATGTGAGGCACTCTCTGTTTATTCTCTTCCCCTCATGATCAAATTGGGCTCTGCTAAGGGTCTAGTTGACTGGGAACAAGAGAGGAAAATGACTTCTACTACTTGCATAGTAGAGGAATGTTTTATTTTAACAGTTATTAGGTAGAATTTTCTAAAATTTTCTGCTAGGAATTTTCTAAAACTATCTATTGTTGATGTAGTGGTAGTATTTTTCTGATTGGATTAGAAAGTGTTGCAACAAATAACCCAAATTAGAAGGCATTAATTCATATTTTGAATATAGTAAAGGGGTTATTTCTCATAAGAACTAAGGCTAAATGCAACTACTGCAAAATAAACTTAGAATCAATCTGTCAAACAAAGCTTAAAAATGAATGAGGGCAGACTTTTGTACTTTAATTTTGTATAGAATTAGTCTGCATTCAAATTTGGCATATTTGTATGTTACTTCCATATTTCAGGATACTTTATGCGGTTTGTAGTGATCATTTTACAATGCCCTCTGATGTAGCTGTGTGTCCTTTTTTTATTTTTTATTTTTTATAGCTTCTATTATGACCATTTGCAGATTATTTGGGTGGCAAAATGGCTCCCAGGTACTTTTTGGTTATAGAAAACAACTTTCTGAAGCTGAAAACTGGGGTCCCTTTATATGTTGCCTTCTCAAAACATGGTTGCTGCCTTAGAAATTGACTTAGAGTTAAACTTGAACACAAGAAATAGTGAAGTTTAAAGTAAGTTTTAACAAAACGGAAGGTATTTCTTTCTCATGTAAATGAAGATGGGCAGAAGTTGGCAGAAGGAGGTTGAAACGGTAGATCCCATCTTCCCAGAACACATGATTCTTCTAATTCACCATGGAGACATCCCTGTGTGTGAGTTTTATTATCATGGTCTTGGATGGCTGCTGGGGATTGTGTTATCTCATCTGTATACCAGGAAATAAAGTTGAAAAAGGAAAAGGAGCAATGGGCCAATGTAGTAACTAAATGTTTTGATGATCACTTGCTTGGCTATCTGGCCACAAATTCACAGAGAAGAAGGCTGGAAACTGTTGTCTTTAAAACAGGTAGTGATTTGCTCTCTTAAAAAAATGGGAGGGCTTAAGAAAAAAAAAGGAGCCTGGAGTTCCTAGTTCTATTTCAAGACAGGGCACATACCTCGGTTGCAGGCTCCATCCCCTGCAACATACCTCGGTTGCAGGCAGCCAGTCAATGATTCTCTCTCATCATTGATGTTTTTGTCTCTCTCTTCCTCTCCCTTCCTCTCTGAAATCAATTTAAAAAATTTATATATATATATATATATATATATATATATATATATATATTTTTTTTTTTTTTTTAAGAGGGAAAAGAGAAATTAAGGTAGACAACTAGCAGTTCCCACCAGTTTATAGACCACATGGTTTCATAAAACAATAATTTGGGGAGTTGGAGGGAATGACAGGAACCTAAATATCCTTTCTTTAAGCTATAAATGTAAAACCTTCTGGTTCCTTGATACTTTGTGGGGTGGGAGATGGATCTGTTTCTGTCTTTCTAACACCTTACAGTTCCTTTTTATGAAATAGTAAACCTAACTGATAAAAGGAATATTCTTTGGATCATGTTTTTATTGATGTATACAAAATACTGTTGTTAAAGCAAGAAACACATACTACTTAGCTAACCTCATAAAGTACTGAGAGAGGCACTGTCATTTTTTCTACTTTTTGCCCCCAAATAGTAAACACAATGGGAAAGATGCCTATTTGCAAACTTCAGATACAACTCAAAGGATAGTAAGAGTAACTGGTATGTAAAATTTCCAAAGTTCACTTAAGTCATATGATAAAATTTGTAGGTTATCAACCAAATTTAATTCTGGATTAATTTCAGTTATTATTGGTGATTTGAAGTTTTGAATAAATAAGAATTATAAAACATTCACAGAATAAATTCTTGGTATAATGCAAACAGAGTCATACACCATTAAATTTCAAATGAATATAGAAGAAGAAGCATAGGCAATTAAGAAAATCAAATCTGAGAGCAATAAAAAAGCATATTTATGTTAATTTGATGCTGTTAGTTCTATTCCATAATAGTCATAGCATAACCATTAAAACATTTATGACCAGTTTCCTAAACTGAAGATTATATCTTAAAAATTACATTTCATTTTAAAAAGTTGTTTTAAATGCATAAATCAAAGCCTTTATTTACAAACGAATGCCTTACTCCTGGATATGTGTGATGTTATGTGGCTTCTTACTGACCGTCCCTAAGGTAATTCACACTCTCCAGCATCCATAGCACAGCTGTGAAGTCAGTAGGGAGTCATTCAATCATTTGTAATTTTACACATCTGTCAGTTAAATCTAAACATCAAATGCAAAATTGTACGCAGAGGGACATTATGGAAATTTGTGACTCTCCCTGGAGGGTGTTGGATCTTTATACCAACAAAAGATCCACAAATGAATCTTCCCATCCATAAGAGATATATATTCCTTTTCTACTAATGCCGTGCTAGCTGAGAATCTTCAAAACAGAAGGGGGTTCTGTAATTAGGAATAAAATGAAAATGGAACCTGCAGATTTTTAAAAAATATGAGATTTTTGGGGTGCACTGTGGAATCACAATGGTACCACTCTTTTTTTAAAAAAATATATTTTATTGATTTTTTTACAGAGAGGAAGAGAGAGGGATAGAGAGTTAGAAATATTTTAAAAGTTTTATGTTGCCAGAGTAAATAAATTATAAATTTAACATTCTTTACATCCATATGAGTTTGCATAGAAGATTTCAAAATGATCTGAGCATGTCAGAGAATTGAGGCCATGTAAAACAAACATACCTCACATGGAGCAGACGGACAATTTCAGAGGGTAAGTGGGAGTGATTAACCAGGGAACTTACATGCATATATACATAGCCCATGGGCACAGACAATAGTTTGGTGAAGGCCTGCAGTGGGGTGGGTGCAGGATGAAGTGTGTTGATGGGGAAAAACACACAAACAGAGAAAGAGGACATTTGTAAGATGTTCAACAATAACAATAAATTAAAAATAATAATTATAAAATGAAAACAACAACAAACAAACATACCTCACTGATGCTGCAAAATTACTTGTTGTTAGTGTGATCCTTGTAGTGTCACCTCCACTTCAGAGAGAATACTTCTTTAACTGCTGTTCCTATTTAAAAATTTCAAAAAAAACATACTTTAAAATTTTGTTTTCTGTATAATTATGAAAAAATATGGATTATTTACCTATAATATAATGATAATGAGTCAGGTTGTTTTTCCTGAATAGGATGCAAGGGTGATTTCTTTCCTGGGTCCTTGCCCAGATGGATTCAAAGAATGAAGTCAGGGACGAAAGGTAGTAGGTGAAAAGGGTGGCAATTTATTGGAAGCAAATACAGACTCCAATGTAGGAAGGGGAGGTCCCAAAGGGGTAACCCACCAAGCTCTTTTTTGCTAAAGTTTATAAAGGCTACAGTTCTTTGTTTCTTCATATTCCCTTCTGATTGGTCATTATATCAGCTTTGAAGCCCAAACCCCACATGGTGCCCCCTTCTTACCTTCCCTGTTCAGTGGTAGAATTCTCTATCCCTTGTGAAAATCTGTTTTCCTCTTTCTCCCATTTGTCCGCATTTCTCTGTCCTCCGTGAAAGTTTGTATCCTCTTTCTCCCAGTACCCTGTGGCTTTTCCCTATCTTCTGTGAATGGATGTCTTCCTCTCCCCTTATCCTGTGGCACTTCTCCCCCCGCCCTCTGTGAATGTATGCCTTTTCCTAAAATTCTATAAACCTGCTTATTTTATACCTAAAACTCCTTCCAATAACACTTTCAGATTGCAATCATTTCAAAATTTAAAAGATGCCTGGTTCTCAATATTAAAATTTAAGTTTTAAATAGTTTTGATATATTGACTCTTTTGTTTGGTTCACCCTTCTCTGTAATTTTTTTACAATTATGTGATAAAAATGCCACAGACCAGAAAAAAAATGTGATTAACAGTCTAGGCTTCTGCTTCAGTGGATTTGTTCTTAGGTTACTAGTTTACCTTTGATGATAAATTTCTCCACCTGAATTTCAAAAGTAATGACAACAGCTCTTAGGATATTTGTGAACAGTAAATGAGATAGCATCCTAATATATAAAAAGCCAGAGGCTGTCACTATTGAAACAACGGGACAGACAACTGAACACAGGCTGCATGGGGCAAAAGGCTGGCAGGGGGTTAGTGAGGGACGAACAAACAACTGAACAGCAGGATGTGTGGGATGACAAGGTCAGCAGGAAGCAACCAGGCTGGCAGAAGGGATAGTAGGGGGCAAGTAGGCCAGCAGGGGGTGCAATAAGGGGTGACCAAGCTGGTGGGGGGGGCAGTTAGGGCAATCAGGCCAGCAGGCAGAGGTGGTAAGAGTGATCAATCTGGCAGGGGGCAGGTAGGGGCTATCAGGCAGGAAGGCAGGTGAGCAGTTAAGACCCAGAGGTCTTAGATTGTGAGATGGTGCAGCCTGGGCTGAGGGGACCCCTCTCATGCATGAATTTCATGGGCTTCTAGTATGTATATATGTTTACCCTATTGATAAGTAAACTGCTAGTCTCCTTCCTTTTTTTAGTTAACATCTTGAAACATAAAAGTACTTCTTAAAATGAAGAGTTCTTTTTTTCCTGTTATCTATTCAAAAATTTGAAGACTTTTTATATCCCAACTCATCCCTATTATATTTGTAAACAAGATTGATTTTTGCTGTACAATTTTCCACTTATGTATGAATGCCCTTTGAATCTGTTATTGGTGGATCTGAATTTTTCCCCACACTGCTGTTGTATCTTTATTACTTGTGAGGTAAAACCAAAGTAGGTTAAGTCTGGCACTGATTCCTATAAATCAAATTTTGACAGTTTGACCTTTGTAGCATTATATCCAAGATGCCTTTCAGCCCTACCTAGTTTGGCTCAGGGAATAGACCATCAGCCTGCAGACTGAAGGATCCCTGGTTCATTTCCAGTCAAGAGAATATGCCCAGGTTGTAGGCTCAATCCCAGGTAGGGGGCATGTAGGAAGCAGCTGATCAATGATTGTCTTTCGTCATTGATGTTCCTATCTCTCCCTCTCCCTTTCTCTCTAAAATCATTAAAAATATATTTTTTAAAAAAGACTGCTTTTAGGCTCATGAAATATAACAGTACAGCATTTGTTGGGGGGGGTGGGTAACAAAAAGGAAGGAATAGAAAAAGGCTTATTATTTTGAATGAAATACTGCAGAAACAGTTTTAAGACAAATTATAAAAGGACAATGGAGACATATGTGTCAAGGATATATTGACAGAAGTCAGAGTGTATATTGAGTATAAATAATTACCCAGAGATCTGGTCAAATCTCTTGGTAAATATGCTAATGACAGATACTTAACAAATGCACTAATGGTGTTTATTAACAGAATATGCCTGGTTTACTAGGATTACTTATAACAAACAAATCTATAGTTCATAGACGGGGAGAGGTATATAACTCCCTGGAATATACCACACAAGCTATCTTATATAATCTTACTAGAGGCCTGGTGCATGAAATTCATGCACAGGGGGAGGGGGTGTCCCTCAGGCCAGCCTGCACCTTCTCCAATCTGGGACATCTCAAAGGATGTCTGACTGGCCATTTATGCCTGATTCCTAGTCAGACATTCCTCTAACAATCCAGGACTGCTGGCTACCAAGTGCTTGCTTGCCTGCCTTCCTGATTGCTCCTAACCACTTCTACCTATCAGCCTGATAATCCCCTAACTACTCCCCTGCCAGCCTGCTTGCCACCTTCTTGAGTTTATGGGCGCTGCCATTTTTGTCTTGGAGTGATGGTTAATTTGCACATTACTTTTTTTATTAGATAGGATATAATAAAAGCATAATATGCAAAAAGACAATGGCAGAATGACCGGTAGGCAGGAGATGGGATTGGTGAGCAGGCAAAGCCAGGCCAGCCATGGAGTGTGCCAATGGGCAGAGGGAGGGGACGATAATGGGAGGGCAGTGGTGACCAGCAGTGGCAGAGGGCAATGCGGGGGGTGGGGGGGGGTCCAAGGCTGGCTGCTTGCTGGCCAGTGCTGTCCCCTGATCTGCCCACCCGGTCGCCTCCTGCAGAGGGAGTCCAAACTGCAGCTTAGGCCCGTTCCCCTCAGGGAGTTGGGAGAACAGGTCTAAGCCATCAGTAGGAAATCCCCTGGTGTTCTCCCAGACTGTGAGAGGGCATAGGTCAGGCTGAGGGATGTATTTTCATGCATTAGGCCTCTAGTTGATATATAAAATGGATAGATTTCATTATAAAATAGCTATTTTCATGTAATTAATGATGGCATATATCCCTTAGGAAACTCATTTATTAAATCTGAAACTCAGTGCTTCCTAATGAGTATAAAAAACAGGAAACTTACGTCTGTTGTCTAGGCATGTTACTCCTTCACCTAGTGCGTCATGACTGCCCCTGTCTTTGAAATTATGTAGTTTGACATCATGTGACTTGATGATCTGAAATTTTATGTTATATTAATTTATAACTTTTTGAAAAGCTGTTTACACTGAACTTAAATGGCATTAAGAGTTAAATGAAGAATTTATATTTTGGTTTGTTGCTTTTTTGAGCAATGATAAACTGCTATTGCTAAAGGAAAGCCTGAAGGATATCATCTTGAGAATCTAAGTTCAGATCTTGACCTCTCCCATTGAAGTGCATGACTTTTTGTTTTCTTTTTTTCTCAAGGGGAAGAATGGAGTTTAAGAGACTTCTTATTGGAATTACTAAGAATATATAATTCACTGAGTCTATTTTCTTTTTCATGTTTTGATTGTGTGATGGGAGACTATATCATTTTCCCAAGGAATAAAAGGAAATATAAGAATCAACTTTATAAAACAAAAGAGTTAGGACAAAAAAACATTTAACCAAAAATATAGTGTTGTGTTTTTTTTTCTTAATTACTGCCATTTACCAACATCTAAGCCACTTTTCCTATTTATGAGGTTTTTTAATCTTGCTTCAAAAAATTTCTCTGTATCCCCGTACTTTCATGGCATTAATTTCCATATGGACAGGTTGTTCAACATTCTTGTCTCTTGATTTGTTTAGCTTATCAACTAAATTATTATTTATTTTCTACATCTCATCAGCCCTCAGTTGTATGCCATAGTTGTAGACCAGTTATCATAATAACACCATTTGTGAAATATTCAATTGAAATATTTCATAATTCAAAACCCTTTCCTACATTTATTGTTAATTTATTTTAATGAAATTTCAGAATCTATTTGCCACAATTTCAAAATATTAAAATTATAAAATACAAAAGTATATATTCATAATTTTTTACCTAAAATTTATTTGGTGGTAAAAACCTAAACTGATTTACTTTATTCATCTCATTTTATAAATCATTATTTAACTCACTTGATGTGACTACATATGTTTGGATGCAGAAAAATAATTATCTTTGATTGTCTAGTCTTTCCTCAATCACTACTGGAAATGTTACATAATAAAAGCCATGTAAATCGACTTAACTCTAAAGCACACTAAATTATGACAGACATCTGGTCCCAAGAGTTTCAGACAAAGGATTGCATAACAATAATCAAACATTTATTTGAACTGGATGAGGCAAAATCCTGAATTCAGCCTATTTTTTAACTATTACCATTCAGCACCTTCCTTCTATTTCTTAATGTCCTGCTTAGAATAATAAGTCCATTATTATAAAGAAAAAGTTGCAATGACAGCAAATTTAAAGAACTGTATTAACTGCACAAGACAAACAACAATCTCTTTGCATTTTTCCTGCATGCATGTTCAAATAAGCAATACACTAGAGGCACAATGCACAACATTCATGCAACAGACGTGGCCCATGCCCACTGCAGTGGCCACCTCAGCCCTTGCAGCCCCAGCTTCTTACAGAAGGTCATCCAGTCTAATTAGCATATTATAGTTTTATTATTATAGACTAGAGACCCAGTGCACAGATTTGTGCATGGTTGGGGTCTGGCTGGCTCACTGCAATAGCAGTCCATCAGGCTGTGGGGAAGGGGCCATGGACAATTGACCAGCTGGCACTGTCCACAATTGGGGTGTCGGGGGCCAATTGGGGGCTGGACCACTGGAGGGGGACAATTGGGGCCCAGATCAGTGTGCATCATAGCCACCGGTCTTCTGCGCATTCCACCGTTCCAGTCACTGAATTTTTATATACTATACAGATTTGCTTTAAATTAATCACACACCCTCACCCCCCCCACACCCCCAAAAAAGGCATCACTCAGTTCATTCCCTTGAAATGGTAAATGTCCTATATCAAGTATTTTCTAATCGATTTATTCTCTTTCAAACACACATTCTTCCCAGTCCCTCTTAGGTAATTATCAGATGATTATACATCCATCTGTAATTGAGGTAATTGAAGGATTCAGATAGGAAATCCCACACCTTTCCCTGCCTCCAAACCTTACTCTTCCCTCTTCAATTCCAAATTCCTCATAGCTTATACTAACCTGAAATTATTTTATTTGCTTCTTTGTTTACTTGATTATTGTCTATCTTTATTCTAGTCAAATTAGAAAATGTAATGTAGGAAGAAATAGCTTCTGTCAGGAATTCCTTCTGGTATCCCCAGACCTAGAATAGTGTCTGTCACATAGTATGTATTTGAATAAATCAAGAACCTGATTTATTATTGAAAAGCCATTTTATTTTAATTTATTAAAAATTGACTTCTGATTATAGGTGAATGAGTCTAATTTAATATAAGTTTGTTTGTTTTTTTCCCTTGTGCCAACAATTGAGAACAGATGCCTTCCATTTTGTTTATCATTAAAAAAAATGGCACATGATAAAAGAAGTGATATTTACTTTTCCTGGAATAATTTCCATTTAGATTTAATTAAATTACTTGAAGCAGCTCAGCATTTTCAAAATGTAGAAGTAAAAATATTTGGATGCATCTCTCATACTAGATTAAAATCTTCCTATTTATACATTTAACACTTTATAAACCCACAAGATATAGAATTTGGTTCTTTCTGTTTGATTAGGTATTTTACTACTATTTATGTGAGAAACTTGATTAACCTATTTTTTTCTTTTGTCAGGAATCACTTATTTCAGATTAGACTCTTCAAGTGTAAACACAAAGTCACTAAGAACTTTCAGCACACTGTGCTTGTCACAGGTCCTTCCAGAGCTCATTTTTTTATGTTTGGCTATATTCATTGAAGAATCAGAAAAGGGCAGAAGAAAGAGGAGAAAAAAAGGATGAGAATGATGAAGAAGAGGAGGAATGAAGAAGACAGCAGAGAAACTAACCACATGCCATCTTCAATTTCAGCTTGTATACTACTAAAATAGAAAGATGAAGTTTCATCTCTCGCCTCTCGTTATATGCTATTCTTGGAAAAACAAGAGCCTTAAAGCACATTTTAGGAAGTTTTGCTATTTTCCCCTGGACTCTGAATTCAGGGCCAGCACAATTTCATTTTGTATAAAACTGCCATCCAGGGTCCAGATTCTTCCTTTCCTGCCCTTTCCCCCAGTCAGTATCTCACATTTTCCTCTCATACTTCTCTCCAGATAGCTTGGATGTCCCTATTATTGGTTTACACTTTAGATTCAAAGTATGATTTGCCCCTGTTCTCTATGAAGACTGCATTCTCTCTTTAAGCCCTACTCTTAAGATGGAGCCTTAGAGTAAAATTGTTTTAATTACTTTGTCCAAGCCTAAGGAAATAGAAGGGAAAATGGAAGATTCAAAAGTCTCTCTCCATTCGCACATATCCAGTTTCTTGACCAAAAAAATAGCAAGGTTGGGGATTTTTTAATTTTTCATAGAAATCTATTGCACAATTAGGGATTATATAGAAAATAGGCTGCTATAAGCCAAAATTATATGCTTATTTCTTGGAACAATTAAGGAATAGAAGAAGATATACAACAGTACTGCAGATTTCCCTTATTAAATTCTAGCTATCTTCAAACACAGAAACAATTTCAACATTTAATACAATGATTTCCTATAATTCACTGCATCTCAGAGGCTTCCCCTGGAAGCACCCAAAAATTTCCTCAGAGCCCACTGCTTGGCACTTCCAGGGACTTTACCATATTTCATTGCTTTGGATTACTTACCCGTGTCTTCACAGTGTTATATGATCTTTGGGTTCAGTGGGTCTTTTGATCTAAAGAGGGCCAACATCTGTAGAATGGTTAAATAATCAAAACTCATTTTAGCTTTCAACAATTAAGTAATTCTCCTCACAAATATTTTCCTAGGCATAAAACCACCTGCCTAGGAAAAATAATGATGTCTTAGAGATGTGTTGGGATCCTAAGAAAGCTTATAAGTGAGATAATAAAATTATACAGCAGACTCTGGCCGGAGAGAAGGCCTGAGTACCAGGTGCCAGAGGAAAATTGGTGCTGGAAGCCAAGGGAAGGAAGGCCTATTGTGCAATTCTCTTCGTTCAATGGGCCTCTAGTTAATGCTATAAAATGTACAGATATGTGGTTCAACACTTGATATATATTCTTTCCTTCTATCTTCCTCCTGAATCAAAGTGATAACTTTGGTGTGATGTGTCAAGGAAACAGAGAAACCACAGTACACAGTGTTAGAAATAAAAACATGGATCTAAGTAGAAATATCATAACATAAAATTTTAGCCACTAAAATAATCTGGTATTAATATAAATATTGAGAAATCAACCAGGAACACAGAATGGAAACTCAAACTCAGTTTTTGTATATGACAAGTATATAACTTTAACAAGTTAAAGTTTGGACAGTCCCACTGTAGTACTGAAAAAAAATGTCAATAATATAGATTCAAAATGTATCACAATCCTAAGTAATTTTTTAAATATTTAGAATGTCTTAAAGGCCTATATTAGAAAAGAAAATATGTTTAATTTTGTATATGTACAACTAGGAATTATCTTTATCTTTTAAGACTATGAAAATTTTATTAAATAACATAAAAGCAAAACAAAATATTGATAAATTTGATTACATCAATATTTTAATTTTCTGCACCTCAAAAAATGTCCTAACTTGGTAGAAGATATTTTCAACACATAAACTATATTATTATTCATAAAACATAAGAAGAATATATAAAAATAAGAACTCTAAATAATTCAACTTTTGTGTACACACTTAAGAGAAAATTCCACACAAAGCAAGAAAAGTCATTATTTGTAAAAATAAAATTAGGGAGAAAAGACTAATATTTAAATAGTTTTTTTATATCAGCATAATGGAATAGTCTTCCTCAATAAAATGGAAAGTTCTGTAGCCACACATATCAATGTGTTAAGCTGTATCATTTAATCAATGTTAAATTTAAAAAGCAGGTTAAAGAAGACATACAAGTAAGACTTATATATAAAGTGCAAAGTATAAAACATGATTAGGCTATGAATATGAATATAAAGAGTTGATTTTTAAAAAGTTACAGGAATGATATAAAGCAAATTTGGACAATGGTTACATTATAGGGAAAGAGGGTTGCTATCAATCCAGGAAATTAGGAGCTTCAAGTGTACATGTTTAGTTTAATTTTTAACTAGTAGTCCTGCACATGAATCCATGTGCAAGTAGCTCACCAGAAGCTTGCTGCTGCCCTCCAATAGCTCTCTGCCTGCTGCCCCACCCTCCTGCATCCCCCCACCCTCTCCCCCTGACCCCCCCTCATAGCTTGCTGCCCTGGCCCTTCCCTCTAGCTCCCCACTGCCCGCTTTAGCTTGCTGCCCCACCCTGCTGCTGATCCGGGATCCGGTTGGTCATTACGCTTCATAGTGTAACAACAATTTGCATATTACATCTTTATTATACAAGATGATATTAGTTCCTTAATCTTAAAAAATAACTTTATAATGTTTGAGAATTTAAAATATGATATATTTTGAACTGGGCAAGTTGTCTTTTTGTGATATTCTGATTAATGTTTAAAGATATACATGAAACCCCATATCTGATGCCAACACTTTGCTGTTAAAATTATACGTTCTCTTTTGTCTTTTTAATAGTATCCATCATAACAAATGTGAGGTGCTATTTCACTTTCGTTTGGGTTTGTATTTCCTGATGATTAGTACTGTGGAACACCTCTTCATATGCCTGTTGGCCATTTGTATTTTTTTGAGAAATGTCTATTGTTTTATTTATTTGTTTGTTTGTTAATCCTCACCCAAGGATATTTTTTCCATTTATTCTTTGAAATATATTTTTTCTTAATTTCAGAGAGGAAAAGAGAGAGGGAAAGAAAGGTAGAAACATCAATGATGAGAGAGAATCATTGATCAGCTGCCCCCTTCATGCCCCTACTATGTATCGAGCCCACAGCTAGGCATATGCCTTTGACCAGAATCAAACCCAGGACCTTTCAGTCTGAGACCAATGCTCTATCCATTGAGAAAAACCAGCTAAGTCTTTTCCATTGATTTTTTTTCTTTATTGATATGTGTCCTTAACCCCCTAATTTCTCCCCCCATCCCTCCACCCCCAATCATGCCCTCACCCTCACCTTCTGGTGTCTGTGTCCATTAGTTATGCTTATACGCATGCATACAAGTCCTTGGTTGATCTCTCCTCCTTACCTCCACCCTCCCTACCTTCCCTCTGAGGTTTGAGCATTTGATCAATACTTCTCCGTCTCTGGATCTGTTTTGTTCATCAGTTTATGTTGTCCATTATTTTTTAAAAAGAGCAGAATGGAAGGGGAGAGACCGAAAGAAACACAAATGTGAGAAAGACACATCAGTTAATTGCCTCCCACATGTTCCCCTTTCTGGGGCAGGGGTTAAGCTGCAACCAAGGTACATGCCTTTGAATGGAATTGATCCCATAATCCTTCAGTCCATGGGTCAGTGCTCTAACTACTGAGATAAACATGCTAGGGAAGTCTACTGTTTTAATTTAAGAAACATCTATTCAAGTCATTAAATGATTTTCTAATAGAGTTACTTGGTGGTTTCTGGCTATTAAGTTATATCATATTCTTATATTAACACCTTATATTTGGATATTAACCCATTTATCAGACATATGTTTTGCAAATATTTTCTCTCATTCCATAGATTTTTCTTTAAATTTTAATGCTTCCTTTTCTGTGAAGAAGCTTTCTTTTTTTCCCTTCAAGATTCCTGTGGCTACCTGTGGTCTTTTATGATTGATGGGTAAATTTATGTGTTAAATTGCCTGGATCATAGGGTACCCAGATATTTGGTCAAATATTATTCTAGGTGTTTCTATTCATAAAGTTAACTTTTAAATCAATAGATTGAGTCAACCAGATTGCCTTCCCTAATAGGAGTATATATCTTTCAATCACTTGAAGGGTCAAATACAACAAAAAAGTAGACCTTCCTTTGAGTCATATGAAATTCCTCCTGTCTGACTATCTCAGAATCCTGACATGTTTGTTTGCTTTTTCCTTCTTCAAACTCATATTGAAACATTGGTTCCTTCTAATGGCCTTTGGAATGGCTTTTATTAGCTCCCTTGGGTATTTAGCTTATTGGCTCGCCTTTAGTTTACTGACTCACCTGGGAACTTGTCAACCTCCATAATCTCATGAGTCAATTCATTATAAATTTTTCTATCTTTCTTCTAACTAATAAATTATGTTTGCACAGTATTTTTCACAATGAATAAGAATTTTAATGAATTAGACCTGTTAGGAATCACACTGTGATTCATCATGGCTTTACTCTGAATATATTTATAGAATGAATTTATGATCTATTCAATATAAATTTCCAATTCCTATTTTTCTTTTGTTTTATGACCACTTTTAAAGAGCAGTGTAATATAGCTGCTTCCTGAAGAAAAAAATAAACTAAAACTTCTCTCTTCTTTTACTTTAAAAAATAATAATGACCCTGGATACATGACTCAGTCAGTTGAGCACCAAAAGGTTATAGGTTCGATTCCTGGGGAGGACACTTACCCAGGTTGCAGGTTTGATCCCTGGTAGGTGGAATTGTGTACAGGAGACAACTGATTGATGTCTCTCTCTCTCTGTGTCTTTTTCCTTCCTCCCCTCCCTCTCTTTCTCACTTTCTCTAAAATAATTTTTAAAGAGTGAAAAAAACAATAATTATATATTAATATTCTTATTAACCAGATAGAACTAATCACTTTTAACATTTAGGAAACTTTAGACATTTGTTTCTATGTCTTATTCTGTTAAAATAAATAAAATAATGGGTTCAAATTTGTATATTTTAAATTTTATTTTGAAATAATATGTATTCAGAGGATATTGCAAAGAAATGTACACATTTACTTCACAATCTTCACCCACTTCCCTTTGGTATTAATATATTGCATAACTATAGCACAATATTACAACCAGCAAACTGACATTGATATAACCCACAGAATTTAGTCAAATATAAAAGCACTCATTTGTTTATGTGTTTCAGTAGCTCTATGTAGTTTTATCATAGGTGTAGTTTTATGTTAACTCTCTATGGCTATACCTATTCCTTTTCCCCCCACTAATCTATAATCTGTTCTATATCTCTATAAGTATGTTATTACATGAAAGCTAAAAAAAAAATAGGTTCATATAGTGTGTGTCCCTTCTGAGACTGGGTTTTTTACAAGACAGCCAGGGATAGCCAGGCCATTGTGTATGACAATGATTTCTTTCTTTTTTTTTTCCAGAATATTTAGTATTTTTATTGAAAAATATTAAGAACTTAAAGATAGGAAAATTGAAATCATGGAGTCTGAACAACAGAAATATAAAAAGTGAATAAAGCCTAAATATGATGGAATACCACTAAATAGGTCTAAGTATGCATAATGGAATTGTCAGAAGGAAAAGAGAAAGTAACAGAAAAATATATGAACAGTAATGGCTAAGAAATTCTCAAATTTAATTGTGTAAAAACATGAGTTTTTACACAATTAAAAAGACCAAGGGACTCCAAGAAAGGTTAACACAGAGACCCATACCAGACACATTATAATTAACAGTGAAAGATAAAGACAGAGAACCTTGAAAGCATTAAGAGAGAAGTAATTCACAACATACAAGTGATCATCAATAATATTAACAGACTATAGTGTATTTTTCAACAGAAATCATGGAGGCCAGAAGGCAGTAAGATATAAAACTTAAAATGTTAAAGGAAGAAAATAAGAACTCTATAGCCAAAAAACTGCACTTCAGAAATCAGAGTAAATCTAAGACATTTCAGACATATGATTGTTGAGAGAATCAATATTAACACACTTGTCCTATATGGCTGGAAATGGAGTCTTTCACCCTGAAATGAAAAAACACTAGAGAGTAACTTAAAATCATAAAAAATAAGTATGTACAGTAAAGGTAAATGTGTGGGCAAATATAAAAGCCAGCATTATTATACATTTTAAATCTACTTTTTATTATATAAATGATTTAAATTAAAAGTGCATAAAAATTACACTTGTATCTTATTGGGCACAAAATTATAAAGATGTAATTTATGACAACAATATAAAGGGGGGATTGTTTAGGATTAGAGTATTTGTATTCTATTGAAATTAAGTTGGTATCAATTTAAACTAGGTTGTGATGTTAAATATAATACCCACGCTACCCACAAAGAAAGTATCCCAAAAATATACATAGAAGAAAATGAGAAGGGAATCAAAATGGTTCCAAAGATCACCTAAACACAAAATAAGGCATTAAAGGAAGACTGAAGGACAAGTCAAAAATTAAATGTTATGCACAAAACAAGTAGCAAAATGGAAGAAATAAACCCTTATCAGTAATAATTTGAAGTATAAAATATTAAACTCTCCATCCAAAGGGAAACGATAGCCAAAGTGGATTTGAAAAACAAACAAGCAAACAAACAAAAGCATACAGCTAGAAAAGTTTCACATTAGATACAAAGAGAGATAACTTCATTGACCTCTAAACTCATAATTTGGAAAGTTTTCAATTTATTTTATCTTGAAATATAAGAGTTTTAAAAAATTTTTAAACATTAGAGGCCAGTCTCACATATAAATACAGACAAAAATTCTATTTTTTTTTTTCATTTTTATTTTAGAAAGAGGAAGTCAGAAGATGAGAGAGAGAGAGAAACATCAATCAGTTGTCTCCCACACATGCCCAGCCCTGGGACTGAACCCACAACCTGGGTATGTGTGCTGACTGGAAATCAAACGAATGACCCTTTGTTGCATGGGACAATGCTCCAACCAATTTAGTCAACAGCCCAGAATGACAAAAACATTCTAAATGGAACATTAGCAAATAAAAAACAAAATACTACAATACAATGTTATGATCAAATGTTTATTCATGTATGCTTAATTTACAATTATGAGATTTAAATATAAGTCACTAAACAAATTAAAATGTTAATTATTTTATAGTCAATAATTAATAATTATAGGTACTATTAAACCCCCCTCAATCAAAGCCAAAATTAAAAAACTCAGTGGATTAAAGTGTTAAATGTGACAGATAAACTTTTACTGACTTTAGAAGAATGTTCAGGAAAACATAACACCTATGGGACATAGAATGTCTTAAATGAGACACAATGATAATCTTAATGAAAATGGTCAATAAATACAACTATATTAAAATAAAAAATATCTAACAAATATATCATGGAGAAATTAAAGGTTAAGCTGAATCTGGGAGAAAATATTTGCAACATAATGAAAAAGAATTATTTTTCAGGAAAAAAGTCTTAAAAACAAATTAAAATGAGAAAAAAAGCATAATTGACAAATGGGAAAATACATTAATAGTTCACAACAGTGGAAATATTAAATGAAAATTTACAGACCAATATTTAAAAAATTTAAATAGCCTAATTTCTGTACATACACCAAAATTCAAGCATATTTCTTTAAAGGAACTGATCCAAGATCGAGTTGAATCCAGCAGCCACCCCCTGCCTGTAATTGGTTGTATAGAGTATGCACTAAACTGCTTTATCAGCATTAGGAGATAAAGTAGTGTAAATCTGTGTAGATAACTAGGACTCTGGATTTTGCATTCTAAAAGCAGATAGGACTCTGGATTTTGCATTCTAAAATAAACTAGAGAGAATGTGAGGGAGGGGGTGGGGAGAAAAAAAAGGTATGCATAGTCACAGCATTGGCAATGACTGAGACCAAAACTGTAGTTGGTTCTGACAGACAGAGAGCTCCAAGAAATGTAGAAAATTTCTTAGGATGACAACTAGTAATTCACAGGGTCAGGATTCTAAATCAAATCTATGCAACACTGGAGACTTTGCTATTTCATATGAGATACCATTAGAGGACAGGAATCTGATTCTGATTTTGCTATTTTTTGACATGGTATCACTTAAAGGAACAGATTTAGAAGGCTTCTCGTTTTAATATTTCCAAAGCAGAATGCTTGACAAGTTAGACAGCAAGTATATATCTCATTAGCTCCTAGCAAATGTCAGATTCATTTACACATTCAGAGAGTTGATGCATTTCTGGATATTTTCATATAAGTAACTATTTTCTACCTAATTTTACTACACCTGGAAAGTTGTGTGTGTGTGTGTGTGTGTGTGTGTGTGTGTGTGTGTGTGTGTGTTTTAAGTATGAAAATGCAATCTTCTAATAATTTCAGAAAATATATACTCTCCATGAATGTGTGCAAAGTAATCCATGAATATATAAGATTTATTTATGAATATATAAAGAGTAATGTATAGTGCTTCTCTATCTATTCTACATACTACATACTCTATACATTCTTTACTATGTAATATATTTATAATATATACTACTATACTCTCTCTATACTTTATGCCATATTATATTTTCTATGTATTATTATTTATATTCTATTTTTCTGATAGTTGGAAGAGATAACCAGGATAAGGTTTTATGAATTTTAAACCTGCATCCTCTTATAATTCTGATCAATCTCTCACTTCTTAAGCATGTGAGAAACTGTGATAAAAAGACAATGTTATAAATTCATTATTTCCACAAAATCCATCTGTCTCTTATTCACTCTAAAGATAATTAAGTTACTTTTTTTATCATAACTCTATTTACCTATTAACTTTTTAAAAAGAAGCAATAAACTCATAGACAAAAACTAAATTGCTAACAAAAATACAACAGCTCAAATTAGATTGAAGATTATCTCATACAGTTGAACAATTTAAATGCCTCCAGGGCCAAGGAAGTCAGTAGCTTTGCTTTGTGAAGTTTTGGTGTGGAGAGCAGCTACAGCATTCATGCAGGATCCTCAGACTGACTTGTGACAAAGCCACATACAAGTCCCAGCTTAGAGGGCAATGCCCTTCTAGCACAAGGATAGCCAAAGGCTATGTTTGTATGTAAGCTTGACCTTATAGTCAGACCCTGCAGACCTAGTAGCTAAGGGATGTGAGCTGTGGGAGGTGTACCAAGTGATGCCAAAACAAACCTTGACAGATCAGAGAATGGCAACAACAGGAAAGAAGCAGATTTGAAACTCACAAGAACATGGTAAACATCTTGCCCTTGTTTTGCTTTGTGTTATCTGACTATAAAATAAAGATCCTGCTTACAGGCTGTGTCATTGTTTCCTCATCTAGAAACAGTGATCCACTGGGCCCCAACTATATTCTCTTGTCTGTTTTCTTTAATCCTTCACTGCCGCTCCTCAGGTTCACCCCTGGCCATGCAGAACTTGGTTCACTTTGGGGCATTTGTTTTCTTCCCATTTCATGCTCCGTCATCCCC